GTGCAAGGACGAGCGGGCGGTGTTCTGCGAAGGAGTGCAGCCGGGGGATGGGCGCATGTTCAGGTGGGCGGGGCGGGGTGGGGGTGGGGTCGGGGTGCGGGGTGAGCAGCGTCATGTGGAGGGCACGGGGGTGTAGAGGGGCGGTGCGGCCGTGGCAAGGGCGGGACAGACCTGGGTGGTGGGCGCGTGGCTGGGGCAGAGGTTCGCGGCAGCGCTAAGGGCAAGGCACAGCCAGGTCTCTCGCTTCATTGTGTGCACGCCACAAGCACGCAAGATTCACATGGGACGCAAGCGAATGCATACGCGCGCGCGCGCGACACACACACACACACACACACACACACACACACACACACACACACACACACACACACACACACAGAGATATGCACTCACACACATGCTTTCACGCCAACCCCCTTGCCCACCCCTCCCAGGTGTCTGGCAGAGAACATGGCCAGCGCAGACTTTGGCGACACCTGCCAGGCCACCATCATGCAGAAGCTGCACCGCCGCGAGGGCAACTGGCGCCTGGACCCGCCCCTGCGGCGCGCCTGCAAGGCAGACGCGGAAAAGTGAGCTAGCGGCTGCCGGGGCTGTACCCCCGTCCTGCGTCCAAATGCAATGCACGTGCTCGCTGGACGCTGCGCGCGGAAGCGGGCGAGGAGCTCCAACCGAGCCGCCGATGCCGCCCCGCCCGTCCGGCAGCCGCCAGCGCGTGGCTGTGCTGCCAGCGGCCATGCACCCCCGTCCCATGTCTTCCCCCCTTTCTCCCCGCGCCCATCGCCCGTGCCGCTCTGCCGTCGGCCCCGTCCTCACACCCACTCGCCCGCGGCGCCCCCAAAGGCTGTGCCCCAACGAGGCGGCCCTCCGCTCCGACGACGGTGCCGTCAAAAAGTGCCTGGCAAAGCGCGCCGGCGACCTGGCGGACGGCTGCCGCCGCGAGCTCGCGCGCAGCCTGCACATGTCGTTCTTCGTGTGGTGGCCGAAGGGCGCCGTCACCGCGGCCTGCGACGAGGACGTCGCGCGGCTGTGCCTCATCGGGCACCCGACGCTGCACCAGATGCCGGGGGCGGTCGGCGCGTGCCTCGCGCGCGCGGTGAGCCGGCGGGGCGCGGCCCTCCTGGCACCCGCAGAAGTCAAGGGGAGGGGCGGCTTGGCGTTGAGCCGTCGGCTGCCAAGGCCCCTGCTTTCGCTCTCGCTTTTCAAGCCAAAACGCAACCAGCTTCGCTCGCTCGTGCCGTTTCGAGATCCAACCTGCGGCGCTCTCTTCCGCATCCCTTGACCGCCCACCCCCACCCCCTCCCCTTGTTGCCGGCCAGATGACCGCGATCGCGGCGCACGAGGCGCAGGCCGAGGAGGACGTGCCGCTGGCGGACCGAAGCGGCCGGAGGCGGCGGCTGCTCGATGATGACGACGACGATGATGAGGATGATGATCATCACAAGGACGAACACAAGGATGATAAAAAGGACGAGAGGAAGCATAAAGAAGACGCCAAGGAGCAGCGGAAGCAGGAGAAGGAGCAGGGGAAAGCAGAGGGGGCCGGCGGCAAGGGGGAAGCTGCAGGGAAGGATGCAAAGGCCGACAAAGGGGGCGAGGCCAAGCGGGAGCAGCCGCCGCTGCACGTCTCGGACGAGTGCCGCGTGCTGCTCGCCCTCGCCGAGCCGCCGCAGCTGCCCTCGCCGTTCGACGCGGCGGGCGCCGCGGTGCGGGCCGCGGTGCAGCAGCTGGACCGGCTGCAGGGGGCCACGGGGGTGCCGGTTCTGCACAGGGATGCGCGCGGCACGCCGACGGGGATCAGCCTTACGGGCTGGAGCGCCGTGGTGGGCATGGCGGCGCTGGTGATCGCCGTCCTTGGCGGCGCCGTGCTCGCGCTGCGGCATCTGCGCGGCGGGAGGCACTCATACACACTTGTGACAAAGTCCGCGCCGCCGCAAGGCGAGTCGGAGTAGTTCTGGTTGCACGCCTGCGTTTGTCTTGTGTTTTCACGTGTATAGCAGTGTTTTGTGCCCCAACAAGTTCTCCTGTAAATCATTCTGGCTCGTTATATTTCTGGAAGTCATGGTATGCCGTCAAGAGGACCTGCTTGCGTGGCCCAACGTCTTATATGGCAGCAAGCCAGTAAGGCTGATGCATGTGGGCATGGGGAGATGGCAACTCTCGGCGGGGCAAGGGGCACTCTTGCAAAGTGCAAGCACGCTACAGCATCCAGATAATGTGTACTCGCAATGCCACCTCGCACATGTGGGACTTATCGCCAGCAGCTTGCTCACATAGGAGGGTGCACATCAGGCCTTGGACGACAGCGCCGGCGGGGCGGCCCTGCACCCCTTGGTAGAGATTGGTCCCCGCCTAATCTGCATGAGCGCCACCCTCGGCCTTGCGGAGGACGCCGACTTGTCCGGCAAGCGCCCCACTGCCATGCAGCGGCCGTGCAAAATGGTTTTTCTCCACAGGAGCATGGTCATGCCAAGGTAAAGCGATGGTAGCTGGTGATGCATTGCTTGTTTGCTGCCCTGGCTGCCAGCAGGTGCTTTGTGCGCATGAATGCCGTGCAGAACTTGGAGCGTCTCATCTCAGGTGCTCGACGCACCCCTTGCTTTGACATGATTGCCCAGCTCAGCTGTGAATATGCAGGCTCACGTTGGCGCCGAACTCCCGCTTGGTAGCGTTGTGGTTGCACTCCAACACCGTGAGAGCCAGCATTGGTTTTCAAATGATGCGCGTCATGGGCGTCGCTGCATGCATTTATCCGCTAGCCCCCCCGGCGAGTGGGGTGGTGCTGCGACCCCGCCCTCTTTCGATATCGCCTCCCCTGTCCCATACCACAGACACTGTGTATTACCAGGTGTACAACTTGTGTCACGCTTGTGGTACACGCATTCAGGACTTGATTGCAGTCATACTGGCTTGAATCATGCGTAGCGAAAATGATTGCCACCGGCCACTGATCCACGCTCACAACCTCTCAGGGCGGGGTTAGTGGCAACAGCCGGCAGCCTGCCCCTGCCCACTCATGCGACCTCCTCTGTTCCTTAGCTTGCCAGCTGCAGCATTGGTGCTGAAATGGCGCTTGCCTGCAGAGCAATGCTGTTGGGGCAACGTTTGTCTGGATTGTGTGTGCATGGGTCGGTGCAGAGCTTGCCGCCCATCCATGCATGCAGCACTTTTCTTTTAGGGCCGGTAGGGTGCTTGTGGCAACCAAAATGCACAGTTGTGATGTTGCAACAGCTGCATGACCGTTGAGCAACATTATAAATGCTTTCAAGCCCCCTGCCCTGGCTCGTGTACGTGGCAGCAGCAGAAGCGTGAGAAAACGTTGAGGCAGCCCAACTTCTGACAGGCGTAATTCCGCACGACAGGTAAATACCAGGCCGCCACAGGAGCTGCATTTCCTTGCAAAAAATTAGACTGCACAAGTGTGCTTATCAGGGTGATGAACGATGCATGCATTCAACTCCCGCTGCAGGCCTTATCCAAACTGTTTCAAAGTTCCAATCGATTCATCTTGGCGCCGGTGTTTGGCCTCAACACAAAGCTTGAATAGCAACTGCCGTGAGGCATTGATGACCTGTTCGATCCCGGTCACAGCTCTGCATCCAGGCGCATGAAACAAAGCTAGTGGCACCATGGTGGCCTGGCTCTGACGTGCTGGGCTTGCCATCGGAGAGGGGGTGGTTGCTCATTAGTGAGCTTGTGACTGCTACGTTCCCCACCGAGCCTGCGATGAATGTCAGATTCATTCCTTGCAGCTTTTGGCCTGCAAAATGGGTATCTGGACCCTGGAGGCTTGAAAAGTTCCACCCAATTGGCTTCATGACACTGGTGCATGGTGGACGCCACGGCGTTTGCGACCCTGTCGAGACGCAGAAGGTCTCAATCTCAGCCGAAAGGGCAACCGAGTTGTGGAGGCGACTGAAAAGAGCTTGCTTCATCAGTGCGCCTCAAATTTACATCTCTGATACTTTAATGTCTCAACAATAAGCAAACGAGGCGGGCCGGAACAGGCGCTCGATACCGGTATTAGTAGTCAGCGTTGCGAGCGCTGGGAACCACTTAGAAGGGCTGTTTCAGAGCGGGGTTTAAAGCTTTGTCGTTGCTCAGAGATCAATGCTCCATCTGTACACCCTTTCGCAGAACAAGACATCGTTTGCAGGTGCACGGTACTACATCGGACGATCTGTCCACGGATTGGACAGCATATCCACGTGTGCCCCACCCCAGGATGGCATCAATGAAGTCTTCAAGACAAATTTCATTTATTTCCACCCTAGCTGTGTGTGCCGCAGCCCTGGCGTTGGCCCCAACGCTGGCAACCGCCGCCGGGGCCGATGGCCCTGCCACGGCGCTGCTTGTGGGCGCGGGCCTCTGCAGCCGCGGCGCCAGCCCCGGCTGCTGTGGAGTGATGGAGTCCGTGGTGGGGGATCCCAACAGCCCCTTGATGAGGTATGTACCTCAATTCTGGTTGTACAGCCACCGGAGCGATGGGGCACCCCGCGCTCGTAGCATCTGTCCCTTCTGCCTGCTTCTGTTGAGGCAAGGGTCCAACACTATTGACCCCATGGGATGTTGCTCGGATTAATCTGCGTGTTGTCATCCTTCTGAGTCTGCGACACCCTGGTTCGCCACACCTTCAGGTGCATGTGTGTGTCCAAGGTGCTGGCATCCCTCGAGCGCCAGGGCATCACCCTCGCATCCACCGTCAACGCATGCCAAGACGGCGGTTATAATGTCCCTCGGGCTGCCGCCTCCCTCGGCCGACTGGCCGACACCTGCCCTGCGGGCAGCAACGGCGGCGGAGCCGCCCAGGGCAGCGAGACGCTCGCCGAGCAAGTCGGCGTCCTCCTCAAGGCCGAGGGCGGCGCTGACGCAGATTGGGCGGGCACTAACCTCGACCAGGGGCTGCAAGGTGGCCCCGCCGGCGCTGTTGTCCGAGGCCTCATGCGCACCCTCGGATACTCGATCCTGGTCTGGATGCCCGTCGCGGGCGGCGCCGTTTTCCTGCTGGCGGCGGCCGTCAGCATTGCAATCGTGACGCTGCCCGGTCTGCGGGCTCACTTCATTTCCTTGGACCTGGAGCAGCGGCTTGTGTCCGGCCAGCACGCCTTGTTTGTCGTTGTGTTTGGCCTGCAGATCGTTCCCTACACAGTCCTTTTTGCCAAGTTCTTCTTTGAGCGCTGGAGCACTGAGTACTTCACAGGTGTCGACGACGGTCTGATCAACGAGGTGTGTGAGTCTGGACCCTACTCTCCTGCCATGGCAAGCCGAGGCTGCATGGGTGCACGATGCACACATGCTGTGTTGATACTGCACCGTGAATAAATGAGTCGACGCATTGCGCTCTCCTTAATTGCCAGACTGCAAGTGCCGCGCTCATGGTCTGCCCGGGTCAGGTTTTCTGTTCCATCGGATTGATTCCACTACTGTCAGCCACCTTGCAACCCTCACCTTCCGTCCCCTTCCCCACCATGCATGCCATCTCCTGGCCCAGCCTGGCGTCATCATGGGCGCCCTCGTCACCTCCCACGCCTTCATGTACTGCGCGGAGGGTGGCCTGCGCGCCACCGTCAAGCCCAGCCGGCTGCTGCTGGTGCACCACGCCCTGTTTTTTGTCCTGATGGCCAGCAGCCTGTGGACCGGGCCCTCACTGCTGATGGTCAAGGTGGGGCTGCACAGCACGCACGGACCTGCTACCCCCCCAAGCGCATGCGCCGCTGATCTTTGAGCAGCCTGGAGCAGGTTGCATCAGCGAGCAGCGTGAATGCACGTGCATGCGGCCAGCTGATAGAGCTGACAAGGCTGGTTCTCAAGACAAGCACTTTCGACAGCCCCTTTGAACTTTCACGATTTAATGCATACTATGTATATGCCCCTGCCAACCCCATCGGCAGGCCACCATAGTCCTCGACCTGGGTGCTGTCCATGAGCTGCCCCTGTACATCGCACTGCTTCTCTACAGGTGGGTGCACCCACGCGGGTGCAAGCGTCACCTCACCAGCAGCGGTGAATGATTGAGCGTGGATGTGTACCGTAGTGCAAGTTTGCTAGTGAATCGCTTGTATGTCCCATCAACTACCCCCGCCCCACCAGCACTGTATGTAGGGCTGAACGTATCTATAGATATACTCTCTGGACCACATTGCCTCCTTGCCCACCCATTCTGTGCGCTTCATAACATACCGATTCGCGTGCCCGGTGGGTGGCCCAACTCGCCTCCCTGCCTTTCACGCTCAGGCTGAGCAGCAGCACGCGCCTGGTGCGCGCGTGGCTCGTGGCCGGCATGGTCTGGTACGGTTTCACAAGGGTGGTGCAGACCGGCCTCCTCATCTGGCTGCTGATCACCGTCGACGCGCGCCTGCGGCCGACGACGCCCTTTGTCATATTTGTCATCGTGGCCGCTGCCCTGTCGGGCGTGCAAGCGTACACCTTCAAGATCTATGGGGTGAGCAGAGGCAGCAGGGGGGGAACGAGGTGTTGGTTTGGCACCAGCCAGCTGGGGGCGCACGTCAGGGCGCGTGCAGGCTGGGTTGCTTGAGCCAGCCGGCCAGCAGAAGGGCAGCGGTGCGAGCAATTTGTCTCGTCAGATTGTTGATCACACTAGATGGGTAAGCCCTCTGCCATGCAGTAGCAAAGGGCACGTCAGTTGTGCACAGGCAGCTGCTGGTGAGCATGCATGATCCTTGTGCCTGGAAGCAAGTGTTGACGTTCCAGCCTCACATGCACGCTCGACAAGTGGTGCGCGCATGTACCGTTGCTTTAGTATTTGGAGGCTGCTGTTCATCCCTGCGCCAACCGACCTAGTATCGCCCCTTGCACGGTTGCCCCCTACTCGCCTTCCAGGGCATGTACAAGCGCGCACCCTGCCGCAAAATCAAGGCACGGCCGGCACCCTCACAGACTCGAGAGGTTCCTGGCTCCGCCGACGTCTCAGTTGCCATCAAGGATGTCTCAGTTGCCTGAAAAAACTTTTGCACTCCGGGGAGGGGCTGGCCTGGAATGAGCACCTGGCTGCTGCTCATGGCATACAGCTGATGCGACCTCACGGGAGCATGCGCGTCCCAGAGTTGGCGGATGGCAATGCATCGCTTGTTGAATGTGCTGGCGGCCAGCAGGCGCTTTGTGCGCTTGCATGCCATGCAAAACCTGAAGTGTATTAGTACGCACCACGGGTTTTGTCAGCTTTCCGAGCGTTTAGCTCAGAGCACTGCACATGTAGGCACACAATGGCGCCACACTCTCCCTTAGTGTCTTGGTGATTGTGCAGCAAGAGGGTTTGAGCCAGCACTGGTTTTCAAAAAGGCGTGCGTTGTTAATGCGGCTGCATGTGGTGATGTGTTAGCCTTGAGCATTGCCTCGCCAAGCGCGACACTTCACACTGCCGTTCTTTGACATCGCTTGTGCTGTGCCGTGCTACAGCACACAGTGCGTGCTACCAGGTAGACATTTTTGTGTCATGTTGACATCACACACACACAGGACTTGATTTCAGTCAACATTGCTGCAGTCATCCTTGGAAACGATCATTGCCATGAGCCTCAGACCCCAAAAGCTCTGCATCGCAACAGCGGGCAGCTTGCCCCTACCTGCTGCACGTTTGCACATACGCCACTGCTTCATTAGCTTGTCAGCTCGATCATTGGCACCAAAAACGGATTTGTCGTACACAGGAATACGTTTGGATCAGCTGTTGTCTAGTGTGTGTGCAGGGATGTGTTCAAAGCGGCTCGCCGCCTCTCTTGCGTGCAGCACTTTGCTGTTGAGCGCCATAAGGGGCCATGGCAACCTGCATGTCCAGTTGTAATACTAAAACAAATGCACAAGTGTGAATGCGAGCACGACCTTGATCAAAACCCCTTCTAAATACACTGCATATTACTCAGGAGGCTTAATGACGCTGGGCTTTATTTTGCAGCAGCAGAAGTGTGTTCAGCAGCAGGAGTTCGAGCAATTGTCAAGCAGCAGCCCGCCTGTTGAAAGGCGTAGTATCCAGCACACACCAGGCCGCCGCAGGGGCCGCAGTCGCATCACGGTCTTTCATGTGCAGAACCGTGCTCATCAAATTGATGACAGATGCAAGAACATACGTGGTCAACGGCTGGTCAACAGGCGCAAGGTGGCTGGGATTGCCAAACTAGCCTGATGCTGCCAAATTGCAGGCGTCCTAAAACCTTAAAAATGGTAACAACAAATATCTCAGAATCGTGTGGTTTGGTGGCAGCCAACTGCGCACCAAGGCTCGAAACCTCGCAAGTTGCGAATTGAGCACAAGTGTGTGTTTGTTTCCAGGGCGTGGATCGTACGCTCAAAGACAGTCCGAATCGCTTGAATCGTGACGTTTATGTGTATTTTCGGTGTTTAGGCATCGATTGCGGATCGGTGAACGGTCCGTCAACTGATTGGAGGGCCAGGGTCTCGCGCGAGACTGCCCAGGATGTCGCTGAAGAGGGTCTCCAGCAGCTGTCTCAGCTCTATCACCTGGGCTGTGTGCTCTATAGCCCTGGTGTTGACGCCAACGCCGGCAAACGCCGCCGAGGCTGATGGCCCTGCCGCGGCACTGCTGGCGGGCGCGGGCCTCTGCAGCCGCGGCGCCAGCCCCGGCTGCTGCGGAATGATGGAGGCCGTGGTGGGGGACGCCAACAGCCCCTTGATGAGGTGTGCCACACTCGCCATCCCCAACACCCCGCGGAGCGAGGCAGTCAGACGCTCGCACCTCGGCACCTCGGAAACCCGTCCCGCTCGGCCCGGCTGCCACTCGAAGGGGGGCCACAACACCCTGCCCCTCCACTTACCACCTTGAGAAGGCTTCAATCAGTCTCCCTGCAACGCCTCTATTGGCCCAACCCATCCTCAGGTGCATGTGTGTGTCCAAGGTGCTGACCTCCCTGGAGCGCCAGGGCATCACGCTTGCATCCACCATCAATGCCTGCCAAGACGCCGGTCGCAACGTCTCCCACGCTGCCGCCGCCCTCGGCCGCCTGGCCGAGACCTGCCCCGCCGGCAGCAGCGACGCCGGCGGGGCTGAAGGCCGGG